CATGCCATAATCCCTTCTCCTCTATTCTCTCAGAATCTTGGGCACACATGCACACATGCCTAGCATGTTTCAAGCCTCTTGGTTCACGACTTGAACTGTAGTCAGCGGTTCATGTGGAAGTCCTGTGCCTTAACCACTATGCCACCTGCTGGCCCATGGGCCCATTTTCTTACCCACTAAAGGAAAGACCAAGACTCGGGGATTTTTAGGGCCTTCCTGCCCTACTATGCTTGGGATTCCACCTGAGCTTGCACCTCTGTAGGGCTGGCATGGTGGAAAGGACCATGGGGAGCCAGATGCCCTACCCCTGCCTGGTGGTTACCAATGTTCAGTGGGGCAGAGAGGACTCAGGCCGAAAGAGGCGAAGGCTGGTCTCCTAGTGGTCTAACCTAGTAGGGTTCCTTGAGAAGAAACTCATGTCTAGGTGTGGCAGAGTCATGTGGGGACAGCCAGGGTCTAATCTGTGGGGACAGGTGTGGCACAGGGAGTGGATCTGAGTGTCAAGGCTCCAGCCCAGGGGACTTGCTCAGAACCAGGATTTAGGGCCCACAGAGGACATCAGAGGACAACTGGGAACAGTAGCTATGGGGGAACAACTGCAACTAGAGGGAAGATGTTGCTGGCAGGACATCAGCCCTGGCCAACCCCAGGGGATGCCAATTTCTAGAACACAGTGTGGGTGGTGCCTGGAGTGGCACCACACAGAGCATCATGCTGGGGTAGGGGTCAGGAGTGCCCCTGGCTCCCGCACCCTGGACTTAGCCCAGTAGGGCAGGCTTCCACCCCTGCACTGTTTTGGTCATCTGGACACAGGAAAGGATGTTTCCCCACCCCCTTGGTTGGGAACTGGAGACTCACGCTAGGCCTCAGGAGGGCCACAGTGGGGGAGGGCGGGGCAGGGTCCGTGGCAGAAGCAGGCTCGACAGGAACTTTCCTCAGACGTACAATCTGCTCTCGGTGATTACAGGCCGCCCCACTCACTTTGCCTTCTGGGTCTGGGCTGCCCAGCCCCTCCCTACTGACATAGGAGTTTTGCCAGCAAGAGGGAAGGGCCCCGGCCATTCAAAGCTCTGGCCACTGGGCCCAGGAGACTGATATTGTTTTGCTAGAAGAAACGGTTGGGAGAAAAAAAAAATTTTTTTCATTTTATTTTTTTCATCTCTATAGATACAGCAAGTTTAGAGTCAAATAGCTACAAAAGGATTAAAAGGAAAGACAACGTCTGTTGTACTCATTTCCACTTCCAGCTGCCACTACTCAGAGACAATCAACTTCCATCTTTTAGTTTAGTTTTTTTGTTTTGTTTTTTAGCCAAAAGGCGTGTGTGTTTGCCGGGGACAAAAAGAGCAGGAGAGGGAGAAAGCATCTCCCCCATATGGCCATGCTACAATCCCTTCTCCTCCATTTCTCCATCCTATCTGGATTTAGACCATGCACTGGTGCACATGCTGAAGCCTGGAATGTTTTTCAAGCCACTGGGTCTGGGAGGTATTTTTTTTGAGAGAGAGATTTTTGCTATAGAGCACATGCAATCCCCCAGACAGACAGAGAGACAGAAAGTGAGAAATCACCCAAGGGGGATGACCACACCACAATCTTCTCTCCTCCATTCTCCTCTTGGGATTTTGGACACACACGCACATGCATCTGGTGTGAGTTTAAGTCACTGCGACCAGGACTCAAACCCTAGTCGACTACGTGGAAGTCCAGCGACATGACCATTACGCCATCTGTAGGTCCCCTAGGTCTGGGACTTTAACTGCTCAGTCATCCATGTGGGATCTAGTTTCCCCAACCACCAGGCCACAGTGCTGACCCACTGGTAATTTTCTTCACTCTCTTTCCTGTGTTTTCACTTCCCGGAACCTTCGTTACTTGAATGGTGGGCTTCATCACTTGGCCTTGGATTTTCTTCTTTTAACCCTCCTGTTTTTTTCTTTGCTTTATATTCAGCCTTAACCACATCTTCTAACTCCCCTTCTTCATAATTTTTTCTATCTTATTTTTAATTTCTAAGAACCTTTTCTTGATCTTTTAGTATTCCTTTAAAAGTGTGTCATCTTTTATAAGTTTGGGTTTTTTAAATTTTCTTCATCTTTAAAGAGAAGAATTAAAGTATTTGTCTCTTTGTCAGTTTCTACCTTCCCAGTGCTTTTTGGTCTGGCAGAAAACAAAAACAAAAACAAAAACAAAACAAAACAAAAAAAACCAAAAAGCTTTAAGGCCTAAAATGTGAAGTATTGCTGTCCAGAGCACAGATCCCAAGTGACTTTGCCAAGCAATGATCTTAACCCCAAAGCAACCCCGAGAGGTGATTAGTATCATTATCCCTTTTTACACCCAAGAAAACAGGCCTTAGGAAGTCACAGGGCTCACGGGTCAGGGCCAGGCCTCTGCTGGGGTCTACTATGTCCACTTTGGCAATGACCTCCAGTCCATCACCACTGGGCATGAGCCACCAGAGATGCCAGGCCCTGGTGTAGGACCACTGGGCTCAGTCACTGGAAGACCAGAGAGGGTGGGAAGCAAGGCCAGGGATGTAGGAGAGGGGTTTGTAAGAGATTTTTCTATCCAAGCCCCCAAAACGGACAGCAACTCCTGTCAGATTCATTCCTCTCAGGGGATCACCCCTGAGGGTCTGTGAGTCTCTGATGGCTAGCCAGAGCCTTGGAAGCTGTTTGCCCTCCATGTCCAGGCCTTTAAAACATCTGAAATTCACAGAGCTATCAAATCTCAACCTTTGTGCTTGGTGAGCTTCCCCGCCAGACGTCAAGGGACCCTTGCATGACACACAGCCGGTCACTCATTCACAAGCTTTCAAATGATCTTTATTAAAAATCTTTTTTTTTTTCCTTTTGTAAAAACAAACACTTTGCGGTCACTTATACAGATCAGAAAAAGTGGTGACAATTTATAGGACACTCAACAAATTCCAATACTTTACAAGTTCAAACTTGGCTAGTGTTTTTGTTTTTCTCATAATCTCAAAACACAAACTCTGGTCCAGTTCAAGTATAATCTAACAGATCACAGCCTCGGACTGTCCAAGAATGGGAAACCCTGACACTAACGGCTGCTGCTCACACCAACGGGACATTTTCTCCGTTCTTCGGATATACTGGCTGGTTACGCTTTATTTCGGGTGTTAACAAGGAAAAGAAAAATTACATGGCCTGTTGCCTTTTGTTGCATTAACCCAGGGTTCAAACGACTCTGTAGTTCAAAGCAGCAACTGTTCTTGAGCAACCTTTTCAGGGAGACACTTGAAATGGTCGACAAAACACTGAAGCAATGCTTTAAAAAATAAATCAATATTTTCTCGGTTGCCTTTAGTACTGCACTGTGTGTGACATACATAGGAATAAAAAGTGCAAATTATTGGGTCAGTGAAAGACCATGCCAATGGAATTATAAAAAAATAAATAAAAATAAATATATATATATATACACACACACACACACACACACACATAGAGAATCTTGGGTGATTTTAAACGGAAGGTTCTGATTGAATACAGACGGCCTCGTCTCTCCCCCTCCCAGGGGCTCTCTCTGGCTTTCCAACATGAGAAGGTGAGTCTTATCAGCAAAGGGAGCTGTTTTGGACTTGGGAATGCTGCCATCCAGATGGGGCGGGGATGCGGGGAGCTGGTTTCTCCTTGCACTCTGCTCAGGGATAAAGCTTCCGGTCTCTCTGATAATGTACAGTTCCAGCCTCTAATGCAGACTGTAGGCTTGTCCCTGTGAGGTGCCATTTGGTGAGACCAGACATGCGGGGTCAAAGGCTTTCTGAGAAACAGGAGCGGAGCTGGTGTCAGGAGCGCCAGGGAACACCCTGGGTCATCAGGCCGGGGAGCAGCCCGGGCTGTGGCGATCTATTCCTTTAAAAGTGTGTCATCTTTTATAAGTTTGGGTTTTTTAAATTTTCTTCATCTTTAAAGAGAAGAATTAAAGTATTTGTCTCTTTGTCAGTTTCTACCTTCCCAGTGCTTTTTGGTCTGGCAGAAAACAAAAACAAAAACAAAAACAAAACAAAACAAAAAAAACCAAAAAGCTTTAAGGCCTAAAATGTGAAGTATTGCTGTCCAGAGCACAGATCCCAAGTGACTTTGCCAAGCAATGATCTTAACCCCAAAGCAACCCCGAGAGGTGATTAGTATCATTATCCCTTTTTACACCCAAGAAAACAGGCCTTAGGAAGTCACAGGGCTCACGGGTCAGGGCCAGGCCTCTGCTGGGGTCTACTATGTCCACTTTGGCAATGACCTCCAGTCCATCACCACTGGGCATGAGCCACCAGAGATGCCAGGCCCTGGTGTAGGACCACTGGGCTCAGTCACTGGAAGACCAGAGAGGGTGGGAAGCAAGGCCAGGGATGTAGGAGAGGGGTTTGTAAGAGATTTTTCTATCCAAGCCCCCAAAACGGACAGCAACTCCTGTCAGATTCATTCCTCTCAGGGGATCACCCCTGAGGGTCTGTGAGTCTCTGATGGCTAGCCAGAGCCTTGGAAGCTGTTTGCCCTCCATGTCCAGGCCTTTAAAACATCTGAAATTCACAGAGCTATCAAATCTCAACCTTTGTGCTTGGTGAGCTTCCCCGCCAGACGTCAAGGGACCCTTGCATGACACACAGCCGGTCACTCATTCACAAGCTTTCAAATGATCTTTATTAAAAATCTTTTTTTTTTTCCTTTTGTAAAAACAAACACTTTGCGGTCACTTATACAGATCAGAAAAAGTGGTGACAATTTATAGGACACTCAACAAATTCCAATACTTTACAAGTTCAAACTTGGCTAGTGTTTTTGTTTTTCTCATAATCTCAAAACACAAACTCTGGTCCAGTTCAAGTATAATCTAACAGATCACAGCCTCGGACTGTCCAAGAATGGGAAACCCTGACACTAATGGCTGCGGGTCACACCAACGGGACATTTTCTCCGTTCTTCGGATATACTGGCTGGTTACGCTTTATTTCGGGTGTTAACAAGGAAAAGAAAAATTACATGGCCTGTTGCCTTTTGTTGCATTAACCCAGGGTTCAAACGACTCTGTAGTTCAAAGCAGCAACTGTTCTTGAGCAACCTTTTCAGGGAGACACTTGAAATGGTCGACAAAACACTGAAGCAATGCTTTAAAAAATAAATCAATATTTTCTCGGTTGCCTTTAGTACTGCACTGTGTGTGACATACATAGGAATAAAAAGTGCAAATTATTGGGTCAGTGAAAGACCATGCCAATGGAATTATAAAAAAATAAATAAAAATAAATATATATATATATACACACACACACACACACACACACATAGAGAATCTTGGGTGATTTTAAACGGAAGGTTCTGATTGAATACAGACGGCCTCGTCTCTCCCCCTCCCAGGGGCTCTCTCTGGCTTTCCAACATGAGAAGGTGAGTCTTATCAGCAAAGGGAGCTGTTTTGGACTTGGGAATGCTGCCATCCAGATGTCCATGAAATGCTGCTGGGGGCCGGGATGCGGGGAGCTGGTTTCTCCTTGCACTCTGCTCAGGGATAAAGCTTCCGGTCTCTCTGATAATGTACAGTTCCAGCCTCTAATGCAGACTGTAGGCTTGTCCCTGTGAGGTGCCATTTGGTGAGACCAGACATGCGGGGTCAAAGGCTTTCTGAGAAACAGGAGCGGAGCTGGTGTCAGGAGCGCCAGGGAACACCCTGGGTCATCAGGCCGGGGAGCAGCCCGGGCTGTGCCGATCTGCAGCCTCTGCTCAGAGAGGCCAGCCTGTCTGAGCCCTCAGACGTCTGATGATGAGTTCAGGACTCTTGTTCCTCCCAACCTCTCCTCACCACATCTGTCCAAGCCGGTCTGTCTGGCTGTGGTACTGGCCTTCACTCCTTTCTCCCACAGGTTCTCAACAGAGCTCTCCTCCCCAGTGACCACGGGCCCGAAGGTTTCAACATGATCATTTTGGGGGTCTCCATTTGTCTCCTTTCTGGGCCTCGATTTCCTCACTGATAACATATCAGTGTTAAACTAGATCCTCTCTCTGCCCTTCTCTCACGAGAGCAGAGGACAGACGGTGCAGTGTACTCTTATCTACCATAAAAACGGGGGGGAAAAAAGCCCTACGCATGCAGTCTCTCCCCAGCCTACCTGCCATGATCAGGAATAGGAGCAGGAACCCGTCAAGGGAGAGTGCCCCGTTGTCCCTGTCTTACTTTCACAGCCTCAGCCATGAAGGCACCTTCGGGGAAGTATCACAGCATTGTGAAATGCTCTGGGCAGGGCCTCAGTTTCCCTAGCCCCTCTGTCCCATGCCCTTCCATGGGATACCAGACTCGGGACCCAGCCTGTCTGGGCCCCAAGGCACTGAACTCTAGTCGCAGAAAGAATGTAGAGAATTCGGGCTCTGTTCTGGATCCCATTTTGACATTGAAATCTACACATGTGGTCAACCCCGAGGAACCCTCACCCTCTGTCTCATTGGAAAGAGCCCCTCTACCAACCTCAGGTGTCACTCTTCAGCCTCACAGCCTTCTCTGTCCTCAGCTTCTTCCCCCAGTGAGGAACCATTCGGAAGCCATCCCACTGCGAGGCCGTGGGAGCCCAGAGTGTAGGCACCAAGGGAGAGCCAGGCAGAAGTCATTTCCTTGTCACCGTGCGTCTGAAGTCAGTGCCACACAGTGTACAGAGGCCAGCATTTTACCTAAGCCCCTACCATCGGCTGCTTTAGTTGGAAGGAAAAGACACTTTGGTTTTCATTTTTAATTCAAGTGACCCTATACCAATTCACTGTCCAGAATAGGACAAACCCTGACATTTCCTGAAACCAAGAGGAGGAGAATAAGCTTGGAGGGAACTTACTGGAGCTTCCAAAATGAAGGACTCTTTTCCTCCTCCACAGAATGCATTTCATTTACTTTACTTAAGGCATTGATTTGGTGGACATCTTAGATAACTGAAAGGGATGAATGAGCTCTTAAAAACAGGCTAAAAAATAATATAAAGAAAGAAGTAAATAAAAGCAGGAGCTTTTCACAAAGCTAGAGTTGGAGGAAGAGTTAGAAGCCACTCCCAGCATCTACCCAACAGGTGGTCTACAGTGGCCCCTCACCAAGCAGGCAGGTGTGACTCAGCTTCCCCAGATGCCCACGCTGCAGACTAGGGAGAGACACGGCTGCAGGTTCACTGAGGTGGTTCTCCTGACCCAGGAGCTCCCATTAAACCTCTGCCTTGCCTGTCTCAGCCTGGTCTGACCTGTTCTATCTATTGAGAATCTGAACGTTGTGAAAATCCCTGAGAAGTTGGCTTTTATGAAAAGGAAAGAATCCTTGGGACAGAAGGAGGGAGAGAGAGGGAGTGGGAGGGAAAGAAAGGGAAGCAAATTGAAAGACGGTTTGAGAGACAAGAGCCCACAGGGAGGAGCTTGGTGGCCCTCTGTGGCTGAACGCTCCGGGGTGCCTTTGCTCCTGGAGACACTTCAGGGATGCTTTTATGAGTCTTTGGGAGGAACCCCAAGCAACATGTCCGGCCTGGTTTCCCATCCTCTCCGGCTTTAGTCTTGCCCCGTCCCAAGCCCCAGCCGGAGGCGAAGGCCCCACCTTGCAGCATTCCTCTCCCCTTTGCAGCAGCAGCAGAAGCTTCAGGGCTTTCTCCTTTCAAAGTGCGGCACGATCCCACTGTCCTCGGGCCTGGGGCTGCCTGCCCCCTCCGTCTCCTTCAGCCCCTCATCAGCCAGCTGGGACAAGTACTTCTGTGGTAGGAAGAGAGGAGAAAGGAGGGAGGCAGATGTCAGCGGTGGTCTGGAGGCAGAGGAGGGGATGAGGAGTGAGCCTCAGCCCTCTCCCCATCATCTGTGCCCAGCGGGAGGGCCACTGGCTCCTGGTCCCCAGATCCTCCTGGGTCTATAGGACCCACACTAAGCCCCTCATTACGTTAGTTTACAAGTAATACATGTCTCTTGTAGAAAGAACTAGAACGTACAGATATAGGGTGAGTACTTCTAATCTGAAAATTCAAAATACTCTGAAATCTCAACGTTTTCGAGCACCAACATGACACCACAAGGACTGGGTTGTCAGAAAACTCATGACCTGCTTTTCAATGCAAAAGCACGCTATTACTTTTCTGACAACCTGATAGAAAATTCCATGCCTTGAGACCAGCAGTTGGCATAATGGCTATGTTGCTGGACTCCCATGTAGTTGACTGTGGTTCGAGTCCTGAACCCGGTGACTTAAACTCACACCAGGTGTGTGGGGGTACGTGCCCAAGATCTCGAGAGGAGAATGGAGGAGAAGGGATTGTGGCATGACCATCCCCCCTGGGGGGTGATTTTTTTATTTCTATCTCTCTATCTCTCTCTGTCTTTCTGGTGAATACTGGCGCCTATAGCAAAAACTTCTCCAAAAAAAGAAGAAAAGAAAATTCCAAATTCCATGTCGGCTCTCATGTGACTGTCGAAATGCAGTCAAAATTCCGCAATACAAAAATACCTTAAAATCACCCACAGGCTATGTGTATAAGGTATATATGAAACGAAAGTGTTTAAAGTTGGGTCCCATCCCCAAAATATCTCATGTATCGAGGGGTCTTCAAAAAGTTCATGGAAAATGTATTAGGGAAAAACTGTGTGGATTTCAATGATTCTTTTGCCTCCAAATAAATTCATACGTCAATGCTATTTTTTGACAATCTTTTTTGAAGTCCCTTTATATGCAAATACTCCAAACTGAGGGGAAAAGAATCTAACGTGTAAAACCCTTCTGCTTCCATGCATTTGGGATAAGGGACACTCAACCTGTACTAACAATAGCAAACACATCCACAGTCTGACCTGGTGCCAAGCACTATTCTCACTGTTTGACGTAGAAGCTCATCATCCTCAAAGAAATTGTTTTCCAGAAAGAGCCCAGTCCTCATGCGTATGTGTGAAAGACGGGGGGTGGGGAGGAGCTGGAAGGGCGGGAGTGATCAGCACTGGCCTACAGCAGTTGTGCAAGACAGCAACCCCAACCTGACACTTGAGACCCTCCACAGCCTGTTTCCTGTCAGGGCAGGCTGGCAGGTGGAGAGTCTCAGAGGTCCTCTGATGGATTTAAAATGGGCCTCTCTGTTCTACGGCTGAAGGCTGCCTCCCCATGGCCCCCGAATACACAGAGCTATGACTGGCCCCCAGCCAAACACAGCAAGCCAGGTCAGGCTGTCCGTGGGATGTCTGAGCCAACACAGCGAGACAGAACCAGGAAACAGCTGGAACCCAAAATAGGGTCTGCCAGCTATCCCGGGGCAGCAAGGACAGTGCAAACACTGGATCGGGAGTCAGAAGGGTTGGTTCTGGTACAGCAGTACAGTGTGTGACTGTGCCATTGGATAACCTGTGGTCACTTCCTAGCTTTCAGCCGGCCAGTCACCAAATACCATCTGTAAAGCGAGGGTAACAATGGACACTGCTGTGTGAGGTTGCCATGAGGTTGGATGGAGGCAGCACAAGCCACATAGCATGGCGCCTGGCCTGCTGTTTGCCTTCTCCATTGCTCGCACCAGCGGGGAAGCGTCTCATCTTCTCCAGCCTCAGACTCCTAACCTGTTAAGTTGGTGAAACTGAGTCTTTCTCACCCCTCGGGGAGGACTTGGAGGACGGGATGACAGGCTCTGCATGAAACGCCCGGGTGTACCTGCGTCTCCTGGCCAACTGCAGCTGGTTTTCAGAGGTAGGTACGGTCTTACTGGGTGAGGGGCAGCCATAGATGCCAGTGGGCAAGGCTGTTGAGGGAGCTGGTTTCTCCTCTGCCTCAGAACGAGGTGGGGAATTACGTGCTGAGGAAGGCGAGTGGGTGCATGTATAAGTGTGGGCATTTCCTTTCCAGGACCTGGAGCCAAGCAGGTGTCTGCTTTTCCTTCCTAGTGCTGACTCTACCTGCTGTGCTGGATCACCCCAGGTGGGTTCTTACAGGGCTAGGAGCGAGCAGCAGACACAAGAGGGGGCGCTTAGAGAGAATGAGGGCTCCTTCTCCCTGCCTCAGAGAGTGCTCCCGGACCCCCACCTCAAGGCCTCCTGGTGGGTGCTAAGTTTACGAGTTGCCTGACTTAGGTGTCAGCCAAAACTCCCTGCTGAATTCTTCACCTTTCACACATGCAAGGTGGGGTGGGGTGGGCAAGGCTGGGCAGACAGAGGCATCTGTCAAGGCCACTGACAGAAACCCTATCTGGGAAGCCTGGAGGGGAGGCTCCCAGCTCCCCAACAGGTGCCCCAGGGAAACCTGAACTGCAATTGGCCTGGCATGAGGGGCTTAGCCAGTGTCTGCACCTGATGAGCCGAGGGACCACAGGAATGGCTCTGGCCTGCTGTGGGGAGGGAGGTCAGTCTGGGGGTTTGGCTCCGAGCTCCAGAACACAGTGCAGTCCACTGTCCTGGGAATTAGGAGCCCTGGAAGGTCTGAAAGTCCCTGAGTGACCTTGGGCTGTGTGGCCTCTTTGGGGGAACCAAACCCCACTGAGAATGCTGGATAAGACTTTCTCACACCAAGGTATCACAACTTGCTGGGAAGGAGGTTTGAAATGCGGATTCCCAGGCCTTCCTCAGCATGAGTAAGCAGGCATAGGTGGGATCCAGGGAGCTGTATTTTGGAAAGGTGCCAGCTGGCACAAGGACTGAGATTTAGAAAGTTAGGGCCAGATGATCTCCAAGAATCCTTTCGGCCTGCCGTTCTAGAGGGGAAGGGATGATATCTTCAGGCTAGACAACACCCCCAGCTGTCTCTGGGGAGCCCAGTTTGAACCCCCTACTCTTGCCAAGTCAGGCTTCATTACTCTGCCCCAGGACAGGCTGGGACAGGGCCTATGGCTACCTCAGTCACCCGGCAGCTGCTCTCCAGAGAGAAATCAGGAGGTTTAAATGACCTGAGTTTAGTCACAGCCAATGACGGTCCCTTATAGACAGTGATTCAAGCCATGACATTATGGGTCTCAGTTTCCAAGACTAGCTTAGTAAAATAAAAGGAGAAAAGTGATTAAGAATCAGGTGATCTGGTCCTAGGCCCAGTCACTCACTCTCTTTGTGGCCTTGGACAAATCTCACAACATCTCTAGGCTTCAGTTTCTTCAGTTTTATTGGGTCATTGGAAAAGCCATGATGTATTTTTTTCATGTTTTTCTATGAAAAAATGTGTTTGCCATGACTTTTCCAACAACCCAATAAAACAAGAGAGTCAACCCATATCTGAGTTTCTTAACTAGGGGTGCACATTTGAATCATGTGAAGAACTTCATCAAATGACATATTTTCACACTCCCTTTACCCCCACACCCCTCAACCCCTGTCCCCCTACTGAATGCCTGACCCAGGACGCGTACTTCTGAAACACGGCTGTCTCATCCTCTTGTTTGAGAGCACAAGATCAGTCACTCTTTTACCAATTTAACTGTAACAGTGATACCTGGCTTGGAATTAGGGCATAAGCCATAATGAGGACTTCTAAATTGAGGCCTTGTAGGTGAAACAACTAGTCTTGTGCTAAAAATCAGGAAGAGACTTGAGGCCAGTGGGTGGTGTGGTGGTTAAGGTGCTGGACTCCCACATAGCTGACCGTGATTCGAGTCCCAGGCCTGACAGCTTGAAAATCATGCTGGGTGTGTGTGCGTAGGTGCCCAAAATCCCAGGCGGAGCATGAAAGATAAGGGACTATAGCATGGCCATCCCCTCTTCTTGCTTTCTCTATCACTGTCTCTCTGTCTCTCTCCAGTAAGTGCATGACAAAAACCTAAAAAACAAAACAAAACAAACAAACAAACAAAAAAACAATAGCAACAAAGCAGGAAGAGCTTTGAGATACTTGGAGATATTTACACATGGGCATCTGATATTTCCCCCAGGGGTTATATTGCTAACCCAGCCTATATCAGAAGTTAGTTACATAGGGTTGTCGGAAAAGTCATGAAAAGCATAGAAAATGTCATAGAGAAACATAGAAAAAAAAATACATCATGATTTTTCCAACAACCCAATAAAAACCACATTCTAATATACCACATATGAGTTAGGTATATATTATGGACTAGATCACCATGTTTCATTGATTTTCAGACATGTTTTTCTACACAATAACATCTTTTTTAAAAAGAATTATTTTATTTAAGTTTATTCATCATCATTATTATTATTTTAATTTGACAAGAGAGAAACGGAGACAGAGAGAGAGAGAGAGAGGTAAAGTGAGAAAGCATGCCACCAGGTCCAGGATTTGAACTGTGGTCAGTCATGTGGGAGTCCAGTGCACTTAACCACCATGCAACTGCTGACCCTATACAATAATATCTTCATAATAACACATTTTACAGTTGATGAAGTCTCATCATTTAATTTGCAACATTTATTTTCTTGTTGGTATCAAAAAATAGTGGTGTGGTTACAAATGATGGTACCTTTAACTCAATGAAACATAGTACTGGGTTGTCAAGAAAGTCATGACACATTTTTGCATAGAAAGATAGAAATATATGTCATGACTTTCCTGACAGAAAGTACTTTTTATATGACATTTTTTCTATCCATTAGAGGATACATGTATTTGCCAGAGAGAAACAAAGAGAGAGAGGGAGAGAAGAAAGCATCCTACAAGGTGGATGGCCATGCCATAATCCCTTCTCGTCCTTCTCTCCTTCGAGGATTTTGGGCATGCGTGCACACATGCTTGGTGTGTTTCTCAAACTACTGGGCCTGGGACTCGAACTGTGCTGTTGGCCACGTGGGGTCCAGCTGCCCTGACCACCAGGTCACAGAGCTGGCCCTATACGCCACCTTATAATGTATTCTATTGTTCATTGTTTATTACTTGTCTCCTATGCTAGAGTGGAAGCTCCATGGGGATAGGAATTTTGTCTACTTTTCTTCTTGCCTGGTACATAATACACCTGCAGTAAGTATTTGCTATGTGGATGGATAGTTCAGCAAACATAACAGTGGCTTTTACTTCAGCCAACATGTATGCCTACACGGGGAACAGAAACAGAGAAATCTCTGTATCTTCCACATCTAAATCTTGTGAAAAGGGGTCAGCCCCAACCATGACCCAGGTGAACATTGGCCTAACTCATCTTACTCACAGTATAGAGGGAGGCAGGTACTTAAAAACAAATGACATAGAATGACTGAAGTACTCAACTAGAGACAGATGCTCTGAGAGCACATGGGAGGCTGCCACTGTGTGGAAGAGCCTGGCAGAGTCAAGCCTAAGGGAGGAGTAGGAGGTCTCTGTGGTGGAAGGAGACAGAAACTCACAGAAGCGGAAAACAGCCTGGTATGCTTGGGGAAAGGACAGCCTGTGGCTGGAGTAGGCCTTGAAGGCGGGAGCTAGAATGAGAGGCAAGCAAGGCCTAGGACTCTGGATGCCTGGTCTGAGCGGGGAACTTGGGAACCCACAGAGCTGGGCAAGGAAAGGCCAACCGTTACCTGTAAGTTCCTGTAGTGGACAGCGCTGCGACAGTGGCTCATCTTCGCCGCCTCCTCACTTGTGTAGAACAGCCCGCACAGCTTGCAGTAGAACCCCGTCCTGGGAACCACGAACTCCACCCCTGTGGAAGGACGGGGATGAATAAACATGCAGAGGTTAGGAAGGAAGGCAGTAGGAGGCCCCCGCGGCCCTGCAGCCACCGGGTGGAGAGGGAAGCAGTGAGCTCCACCCTTGACTTGCTGTTTACCTTGGCTGGTTACCTAGACTCTCCAAGCCTCATTTTCTCATTTGCAAAACAGTCATGAAGAGACTGGCACCTACTGCATTCTCGGTGGTTGTGGATGTAAGGGGTGTTGTCCCCGAGGGGTGGTGAGGACTTAGCAATCAGACGTCTGAAACTGGCCTCTGGAAATCTAGGTCCCAGCTCTCAGGCTCCTCCTAGCAGCCTGCTTCCAGGGAAAGGGGGAGGAGGGAGGCTCCTGGCATTTCACTCAGTGGATTCCTTTCCTCCATACTGTACCCCTCCGTGCAGCTGTTGTGACCAGCGCTCTGAAAGAATTCCCTCATTTGTGTTGTTTTATTTTAGAAAAAAATTTTTTTTTGGAGAGACTTTTACTATAGGGCACGTATGCTCACCAGAAAGACAGAGAGAGACAGAGAGATAGAATGGGAGAAATTACCCCACAGAGGGGATGGCCACACCACAATCCCTTCTCCTCCATTTTCCTCTCAGTATCTTGGGCACACACGCACACGCGCCAAGTGTGAGTTTAAGCCACTGGGTCTGGGACGCAAACCATGGTCAACTACATGGGAGTTCAGCAACATAGCCATTATGCTAACTGCTGGTCCCTATTTTAGAAAAGTTTTTAAATAAATGAGGAAAATTGTACCACCCAGAGTCACTTTAATCCAAATATTTTCTTCCACACAATTTCTCTCTATATATAGGGATGATTTTGGGCAGTTTTAATCATACTCTACGTGCTATTCTGTATCCTCTCTCTTTCATGTAATAGCATATCATAAACATTTTTCCACCTTCTACTCTCTCTATATAAACCATCGATTTATAGTATTTTATTTGAGTTTATTGAATGCAAGTCCTAAAATTCTGGGAGGTCTTTTGATTCCCAAGGAAGGAAACAAAGCCCCCCAGACATGGAAAAGTGACACCGTCCCGGCCACAGGATTCATCTTTAAAGTGATGGCGGCTGCTCCCGCTGTCCCAGAGGTGTTTTGAGCTCCTGGTTCTTCTCTTGTAGGCCCGGTCAGCAAAGTGGAGAGAGGTCAGGTCTGAGAAGGTCCGGGCCAGATACTGAGAACCTGTGTAACCTGGGGAGAGGCAGCCAACCTGCTCCTGGCAAACCTCGGCTCAGTCTGCCACCCTGAAAACGCAGGTAAGAAGACCCCCAGGCCCTGCTCATAAGCACCTGAGGGGGAAACTCCAGCCACAGAGCAGAAGCATAGGGGCTGTGAAAAGCAGGCCCCTTCATGCAGCTAAACAAGAGGGGTGAGGCAGACCAAGGCTGGATCCCACTTGCAGGCCATGGTCCCTCCACTGTGTGAGTAGACATACGCTGGTGGCCTGACTGCTTCTCTTTCTTCTGCCGGAGGTGGGTGATGCCAGAGATCTGGCTAGATGGGGCAGAAGGGAGAGAGATGGCCTGAGAGCTACTCATAGGGGAACAGCAACTCCTCACAGGGAGAGACGGTGAGGTCTCCACAGATGATGGCCCTGAGCTGGCCACCGAGGCTGCATGGACCATGAGTGTGAACCCTCCTCTTTACATTCAGTCTCCCGTGAGACTGAGCTAAGGGCCAGAGACCCTGTCATAGACCAGCAGCCTACGCTTGGAATCACAACTCTTATTTCTTTTTCCAATTTCAAGAAAGTCATTCAATGTGAAGGAGCAGTCCTGAGAGAAGAAAGGAGGGTGCCCAGGAGGCCCGCCCATGGCCTGCCTCCACTGATCGTTGTGTGGTTTGGGCCTGAGTGACCTCCTCAGCCCGAGCTTCTCTAACTGCCACGTGTAGCCAGCTCTGCCCTCTGTAGTCAGTGTAGCCACTATATGTGAGGGGTCTCACACAGGCCCGGCTGCCCAGCAGGAGGCTGAATGTCCTGCCTTTCCTGACATTCCTCCCACTGCTGCCCACTTTTGTGTGGGCCCAGCTTGGCCTGTGGGTGGCCACTTCCCTCCAGTTTACAAACAGGTTCTGGCTCTCAGCATTGCTGGCAAAACAACAACAGGCAAGGCCCACCTCCTTCCTCTGCTGCTGCAAAATAGAGTTTGTCCCTAGCTGCTGCTCTACAGGGAGCTGAGGCCTACACAGTACATGGTCCCAGATCCTGCAGTGTGGGCCACCTGGATGATATGGGAAACAAGCCCTGAGGTTTGGACTGCAGACAGGGGCCTTCTGGTCCGTCTTGGGACCCCCAGGAAGGAGTCCAGTTGCCTCATTTGCTACCACAGAGCCTAAGCAGGGCCTATGCTGGTAGCCACAGCCCCTTTCAACCAAAGCTATACCTTAATGAATTTCAAAAAATTCACCAAATACGTTATTATGGAAAACTGTGCCTGGAAGGGACCAGCAGATGGCATGGTAGTTAAGGTGCTAGACACTCCCACATGGCTAACCATGGTTCGAGTCCTGGACCTGGTGACTTGCTTTCTCTCTCTCTCATCAAATTAAAATGAAATGAATGAATTAAAACAAATAATTCTTAAAAAAAAAATTACGCCTGGAATTAAAAATGTTTTGCACCAAAATAAACTCATACTTTAACTCCATTTTCCATGAACTTTTTGTTTTAAGAGAGAGTTTGGCTATAGGGCTCATGTGCTTACTGGAGAGGCAGAGAGACAGAAAGCAAGAAATCACACCCCCAAGGGGGATAGCCACACTGCAATCCCTTCTCCTCTATACTCTCAGGATCTTGGGCATGCATGCACTTGTGCCTACCATGAGTTTCAAGCCTCTGGGTCTGGACTCAAATCACAGCTGGTCATGTGGGAATCCAGCAATATAACCATTATGCTATCCCAATTTTCCATGAACTTTTGAAGTTCCCTTGCTCTGTGACTATCTGTGGGGACTCTGGGCAAAAAAATTTACTTGAACAAAGGCTTCCATAGCCAAAGTAAATAAATAAATAAATAAATAAA